TGTTCTCTTCTTTCTTCTTTTTTTTCCCCGTCCTTCTTTTTGGTCTTTCTCTTTCACTTATTCTCTGTGAGCGTGGTAACCGGTTTTGGACGACACTTCGCGGTGGCTACGTAGTGCGTATGATTTGTGAAGGCAGCGATGCTCGGAGCGTGATCGTCTACGAGCTGGTCTCTCGCCAAGGGACCTGGGAAGGTGAGCGTGAGCGTCTCAACTTGGCCGAGTCCGGAAGAAAGACGGGTATGGTGGATAGATGGGGAGTTAGATTGAAGAGAGCTATTAGTAAGAATTTCTTGGTGATCTGTGGTGTAGTAGGGGTTTTGACCATCTATGGATTAAAGAGAGTTAGTGGAGGGAAATGGTGGATTTTTGAAATGCGCATCACTGTAAAGTATAGAGGGGGAGTAGAATGACGGATAGAAATTTTCGGGAAGCCGAATTTGATAGACAGTGGCAGGACGTCGAGAACCTATTATACGATCGCGTCATTCCGATAATATTTGTAGCGCTTGAGTTCGGGGGCAAGAGTACGAGGGAAGAATTAGTTCGTATACTTGAAAGATTTCTTGGCAGATTTCATAGAGTCGGGTGTCTAGCGAGGGATAGAAGGAGGAGGAGGAGAAGACAATCGCGGAGGAGCAGGTAGGTAAGATGCAGAGTTTAGGGAATGGGATGAATCCCGGTGCTGGGAATGGTTTAGCATTCGGGGGAGGGAATCAGCCGGGTAGCGTGACATGTCACATTTGTGGAAAGCTCGGACATTATGCCCGAAACTGTTGGATGGCGGGGAACGGGAGAGGTCCGTTAGTTCAGCAACCCGGGGCTAATTACATAGACGAAGAAGCGAAAGAGATGCGTGAGTATTTCCGGGAAAAGATCAAGAGGAAGAAGATTGAGGAAGAGAAGAGGGGGAGGGAGGAAGAGGAGAGGCGGCGAAAGGAGGAAGATCTTCGGAAGGAGCAAGAGAGGCTGAGAGACGCAGATGCCAAGGAAGCGAGACTGGAAGCACGTTTGATCCGACTTCAGGCGCAGCATAGTAAATCTACTGCACAACCAGAGAGCTCGAACGTGAAGAAGAAATCGCCAAAAACGAAGGCGAGGGTTTTGAAGGAGATTAGGAGTTACTTAGAAGAATCGGATGACGAGAGCGAGGAAGTGAGGGAGGAGGCTAGTAAGCTTGTCGAGGCGATCGAAATGAGGAAAGGCAAGAAGAGGATGTATAAGGAAGATGGAAGGGGTTCGAGGATTCAAACAGGGAGGGTGGGATATCGGGAGGAGCCAGTAAAAATCGAAGATGATGAAGACATGAGAACACCACCAGCGAGGAGGAGGAATGGAGATGAATCAGGTATCCTCGAATTCGCCATTGAGCTTCACAAGCATTTGTCTGAAAAGAAGGTACCCGAATTACGAAAGCTTTGTAATAGAGAGAGTATTGAGTGGTCGAAGAGAGATACAGCGATCGGGGAGCTGGTGAAATGCAAGGCAAAGCTAGCCTATGGTGATTTCACGGAGAATGGGGGCATTGCAGATCTATTTCAGAGCTAATGAGTTCGGAAGATGGAGCAGCTAAGGAGCGAGATGGTAGCACGAAGGAAGGAGGTTGAGAAAAGAGGGGGGAGATTGAAAACAACGATAGAGGACCGGATATGCAGATTATTTCTCCTATGCGTTATTTCAGGGGAGTGCCCATGGGCAAGGAAATTGGTAGGGATCGTGAGTGGCAACGAAGGTGATGTATCGACTGCGAATCCGGGTGTGTATGCGTTGGTGAGCCCTTGGTGCAAGCATTTCTACATCGGATGCACCTCCCGGGCTGTAATCACCAGATGGGCGGATCACGTGGGTCAGGTGGTTCGCGGAGATCCGGGGAACGCACCGAAACTTCATGCGTGGCTGCGGGTTTTTTGTTGGTATAAGTACTTAGCTGTTCCTTTGGTTGATGGGATCGAAGACCCTCTGGTGGTGGAAACGAGTTTCATTAAGAGATTCTCGCCATCTTTGAATACTCAAGGGTTGGGAGGAGAAAGGTGGCGAGGGAGGAAGAAGAGGGTTGGGAAGAGGGAAAGGGGGAAGAGATTATCGAACCCAAGGGGCGTATCTATGATCAGATTTAACGGGATGGCATCGATTATCGAACTACTCAAGGGAATGCGAGAAGGGGAGGGTTCGCATTGGATCGCATCCTCTGGGGGATCGGAGTGGATTGAAAGATGGAAGATTGTGAGAAGGAAGGTAGGTGAAACAACGATTTGAGTGGGCAAAGAGAGGAGACCCATTAAGGAATGCAAATTGTGGCTTGAGAAGGGTGGGGAGTTTCGGATTGATAAGATTAGGATCGAACCGTCGAGCATTGAGCACAGGAGATTCGTTTCAAGGGATATGTTACGGCAACCATGGAGGATTCGGGGTGTGTATAAGAAAGGGGCAAAGGAGCTTGTCGCACTATATCAGACAGCGATGATGTTCTCAGAGAAGAAGAGTAGGAATCGGGCAAAGTGTATCATCGCACGAATAGTGAGGAGTAAGTACGGGCACGAGATAAGGAGGAGGCCGTGCGTGAGGTTTCCATTCTCTCCTCAAGTGAAACGAGGGATGGTAAGGAGGTGTGCGGCGGAAATGATTATGCAAGCGATTGCAGATCTGGATATTGCGAGATTTATTGCAGGGAAGGTGAGAGTGGTGGAGAAGAAGAGGACTACAGTCGGCATGATCATTCATAATCATCGGAGGTGCGCCGAGAGTGCTGCAATAGAATGTGCGTGTGACCGACTCCAATTACCCAGGGAAGGTGGACATGTCAAGGTTCGTCTGAATGACGTGGAAGGTGTGCCGAGTTTTATCTGGAATTCGAAGAATGTGACGAGTGGAAGTAATGTATCTACGGATACGTTGAGGGCGTGCATCATGGAAGGCATCAAAGGGTGGACGAAAGGTAGGAAGCTGCACATAGCTCAGGAAGACATCCAGTATTGTTTTGGTGAGAAAGGAGAAGGGAGATGTACTGCTATGTCTACGACTGAGGTGAGATTGCACTTTCGAAGATTTGATGGTTTAGTAGCAGTTCCCATCGATCGCAATCCCGGTGCCACGCTGATTATCTATCCGACACTATACTTCCGTGCGTGTATGGAGACGTTTAATTTGAGTAACAGCTTCCGTACGGTACAAGAGTCTTCAGCATTCGTGATGACAGAGATGAAGAGGGAGTACGTTCATCAAGGACTAGGCAAGATCGCAAATTGGCAGACAGGTGGGAAGATCGGCCATGCATACGTACTACCGAAGGACAAGGATCTAAGTAGGTGGAGGCCGATATCACCATGTACTTCGGATCCGACAAGATTGGCTGGTGCCAGAACAGGACGAGCGATTATATACATGCTATTCGGCATCTCAGGAGCTGAGCACTTCGACCTTAAATCTACGGACAGTCTGGGCGAGCAGATTAAGAAGTTTCAGCGAGAGTTGAGAAAGAAGGGGGATTATGTGATCACTCGGAGCTACGACATAAAGGATATGTTCGCTAGATTGTCACATAAGAGTGTCATCGATGCAGTAGAATGGCTGATGGATTATCACAAACGAAAGGGTTTGAAGGGAGTACGGGTAAGCACGAGGGGGAAAATGTGTTCCATGATCAAGAAGGTGAGAAAAGAGGAAGGATTCATTAATATGTCGTTTGACATCATCATGAGGGAGGTTATGTTTGAGCTGTCTCACTCGTTCATATGTTGCGCCGGGGTTATGATGATACAGGAGTTCGGTATCCCGATGGGGAGGAGTTCCAGTCCGGCGCTGGCATGCACCGTGTGCGCGAGGGCGGAGTACGAGTTTCTGAAGAGAATGAAGGACACCCGTGCGGTGATCTGGGGATTAAGGATGATCGATGATGTCGCGATTCTTTTCGGCTGCAGATCGGATCGTCCAGATACGTTTGGAAGAGCAACGGAAATATTGGAGGAATTCGAACAATGCTATGATAAGAACATCAAACTGGTGCGAAAAGACGAAGGGGGCAATGTGTTTGATTTTTTGGGTACGCGCATTTTTGCTGATGTCGATCCTGTGGAAATCAGCGTGCATCCTTGAACGAGGAATCAAGAATGCCTTCTCAGGGAAGGGGTGCTGAAGGTCCAATCCATGCAGGATTATGCCTCCTTCTCTAGGAAAGCGGCAAAGAAAGCTGTGCTGTATGCTACACTGGTTCGTATGAAGAAGATTTCAAGTTCTGATGAGGCACTGAGGGCTTCAATTGCAGCTCTAATGATCGAAGTTAACCTCCGGGGGTACACCCGGAGTTAACCTCCGGGGGTACCCCCCGGAGGTCTCTCTCGGGGCTCTGGCTAGACTCGCCAGATTGTCTGGAGGTCTGTGTGGGGCTTATCTCTCCACAGAATACCCCGGACTCAGTAGATACATGGGCACTACAGGTTTGTAAAATGGGTTTTGATCGGGTGACGCCCGAGTGACAGGGAAAGTAGTTCAGGTAGGCCGTTTTTGCGATACCTCGGTATAGGGACGTTTTTTTGAGGCAGAAGT